ATCAAGCCACCATACTAGGAATCTGTCAGCTAAAATTACATGATGGTTTCGCAGACCGATAGCAGATAATGTCTATCAGATGACAGTTTGAGCTGTACAGTCTGCTGTACGTTAAGCAATGATAAAACTGGGGCTTCTGTGTTCTATTACTATTGTGTGATGATGGCCGTTTTAACCTACGAGTGGCTGAAGCACGAAGATGTCTGTCGTGTGGACATTCCTCAGAAGATTGCGCAACTCTAAGTTCCAGTGTAACCAAAATAATGCTATTTTGTTGGTTTTCACCGTAGTTAGTGAGCAACTGTTGATAAAAATCCCCGGTGTGTGTGAAAAGACCGTAGGTTATGCTAAATGAAAGGTAAATGAAATCAGAACAGTTTCAGTTCCCTTGCGTGCCAATTAGCGTTCATGACAACTGGCATACGCCATGTAGTGCTGTGTGTATGTGCGAACAATGTGATCTGTCCTTTATTGTGAAAATTAGTATTCCTTCTTTACCCTTGATTTTTCTGCTATTGCTTATAAGCTGTCGGTCTGTTGGACCACAGTCTTCGAACTGCGTTCCTGGGTATTCGTTTCACACTTTACCTAAAGCTGTCACCTTGTGTTTATCGGGCTTTTGTGCTGCAATAATCCTGTGGGCGATACTGGCTGGAACTCAGTTCCTAATGGTTCAGTCATGCCAGGAAAGCCAACAAAGAACAGCCCGACGAGGGACGGCGAGTTTCCATACTGTGATTAATCGTGTTACGAGGCGGTCTGGAGGTAAAGCCATGCTGCGGTAGGAGTGTAAAGGCGGCAAGACGTTTTCCCCAGGCGAACAGCATGTTCATATTTATGGGTGTTACCTTCCCTAAAAAAGGACTTGTTGGAAAAGGTCGGCCCTAAAAACTGCACACCCAGACCGTGACCGCCGGCGCATTATTCGATATGGTCAAAATAGTTTAGAAACCAAGGAGGCCGATGCGACCCAAAAGCTATCTGTTGTGCTGAGCGTGAGACAGTAACATCTTACTGTCTGGGTCCTCAGGCCAGACCGCCCCCTGCAACCAACTGGGACAAACTACTAAGACATCAGCTCCCAGAAGGGTCCCTCAAGAAAACCCAAACAACTGCTGCCTCGTGGTCCACACTTTTGATTCAGGCTAGGGACCGGGTCCTTGAACAAAAAATTACATCCTCCCACTGTCTTTGGGTCAGGCTTTTGAATCAAAGGCTCAAAGTGGCGTGTCTCAGCCAAACACCTTCGGCAACCAGGAAGTGTCATTCGCCCTTGCAGCTCTTCGCTCACCGACCTTCCCCATCACTTCCTCCCAATCCATCGTACAATACAGTGCAATCAACCCATCTGCCAACCCCCTAGCCACTGTTCTATGTCTCAACCATCGACCAGAAAAATAAATTGAAATAATCACTAACCTCAAGTGATTTGATCCAAGCTTCAGCCTTTAATGTCTGTACTGCATGTCAAATTGGGCAACGAGCATCCCTTGCTTAAACCTTGCTTCCCCTATCTATCGATGCATATTGTATCTCGGAAACATGTATTCAAGACTCAAGTTTGGTCGTGCTCATCAAGCCACTTAGGACGATCCCAGGTGTCCCATATTTCACTTTCCGGTGATCCTGAATCAACTGCTTGTGGTGTCTACGGTCTGGAAGTTGCACTCAGTCCCAAGGCTGAAGGTGACTTACTGGACTAGATCCCAATAAAAAGTCGTCTTTGCGTTGAGCCGTTGTCTGACTCAGTTGAATTTAAGTGAGGTTGATGTGGTAAACAGTGTTTATTTGTCGTATCGGTATACTCCCTGACAGACTGCAGTTCTGAAACAGATCTGTCACGACTACTTCGGTGAGTGAGAAGCACCGATTGATGAGTGATGTGAATTCCCAAGTTGGACGGCTAAGTCCGGAAGAAGTAATGCTGAGTCAATGCTGAGCGTATGGATAATGGGGAGCGGCTTCTTCAGTTGTGTGCAGATCATCGTCTGTTCCTGGCCAGTACGAACTTCCAACAGAAACGCTTACACAGAGTGAGTTGGAGGCCACCTACCAGAAAACATTCGTGGACTCAATTGGACCAAGAAGAAGATCAAACATAGGTTAAACCACAACACCTACGAGCCATGAGAAGAATTTGGGAATCTTAGCATTCGGAAAACACTTGTAACAGACCCAAAAGTCACTGTCTCGAGGGAGTTTGGGGGTAAATCCACCGATTATTTTCCACACTTTTCCGAAATGCCCGAATTTTGTTGGGGCTCTCCAGGGTAATTTCCAGGTTTTTGGGAGAACTGCCACAAAATGATCGACCATGGGGTATCAAGGAGTTTTCCGGGTGGAGACCCTGAAGAAATACGTATAACTGCAGGTCGAAGGATATCCCCGTTCGAGAATTCCTGTTGGTTCAGTCACTTTTCCACCATGAGGGGTAAAGTAGAGACCTTCGTAGTTGATCGGTGCATTGCTGATGGCTTCTTCGTGAGAGCGTTTGTTCCTCGCCACCCAAGGTCGGCAATGAGCAACGGAGAGTTCGTCTACGCAAGCAGTTCCAACGGTTATCGCGAATGGTGAATAGCTAGAAAGATGTCGAGCAACAATGGGACGAATGCTTTAGAAAAAAGGTGTTTCTTGGATAATAAACGTTACCATCTGGAACTAGAAGATTACTTCTATTAGCGGTTTATCTGAGTTCGTCGAAGAAAAATCAAGAAATCTCTGCATGAACTAATTTATGTCTGATGAAGGGGTTGGGCTGTTCAGTATTTGCAGCTAGTGATGGTTTGTTTTAAAAACTCCGGGAGAAGTGAACAAATTGGTGTGAAATGATGATCATAAGAGCTGTCTCGGATGCTAGAATTGCCGTAGCAGCCAAGTGGTATACTAGGGGAGTTGTTTGGAGTGTTGATCAGGCATTTTTAGCTCATCAAAATTGATACTGATGTTCTGTTTTTACTTGGGAGTAGTCTCGCGCTGTCAGACATGAAAAGTATCAATTTAACGATAAAGTATTGTTTCAATATCCTTGGGACGTCATCCGGAAAACATATTTATGGGAAATGGATCACGCGCCATGCAGTGGACTGTTAGAGCTTAAGTAACGATTCAGTTAATTTTGAACTTAGGAGTCCAGACATTTTTTGAATGAGGAACGGGCACGACCAGGGTATAATTCACAAAGGACTATCCAACGATGCCGACAAATATCAACGGGGACGATGTACTAAGCAGAGGCGCCGCGAATCACTTTTGAGGTCCAATTGCGACACAAAGCAAGCATTCTCGGTTGCCCAGTTGATAGAGTACCCATTTGACAAGCAGGAGTTCGATGTTTCAAGCCCACTTCCTGGTGTACCTTTTAATTCATTCTATGTTCTCATTGTTAGTAGCAGAGTAACAGTGGAGTAACGTATTCGCGACATAAGACCGAAAGCTCTCTACTAATGGGATGTTTTTATTAGTCAATCAGACATTATCTCACATGACGCTTTTGTCCCTTTCTTCGAACACAATTAAGCTGAAATCATTGGGCGCCAAAGCTCGGAAAATGAGTTTTAGGAGGCGTCTTTTAGAAGAATCACTCGACCTCACGGAAGACTACGTTAAAATGGGGGGGTTATCGAGATAGACCAAGTGGTAAGGGCGCGAATTTATTGACCGGAAGGTCCGTGCTTCGAACCTGACCTCTGCCTCTCGACTTCTGTCTAGGCTTGGGCAACCTGGATGTATCCCAGCCCTCATGCGTCCTTCGGGTGGCATAGCAATTAGGCACCGAAAGGGTGCTACAGCTGAACGATTTTTATCGAATCACTTCTAGATTTTTTAGGTTTCACACATGGAAGCAGATGGCTCGAGTTAGCCTTGGGATGTATCTTCAGCGGTACTGCCAGGCTTTATTTCATATGATCTGACTTTCAGCCAAATTAGGATGAAAATCAAAAGAAATCCCAAAGTTAAAGCCATCGGGTGAAATCAAGTTCACTAAAACTCACGAACTGAGTGTCAACCGGAAATGTGTGGGGTGTGAATGGTTGGGATTTAGGAGGTTTGAGGGGTGATGAGAAATTAGTTGCAGCAGTAGTGAATCGGATGGAGGTTATCCATGATTCTACAAGGACGATTAAGCACCCATATCTACTTGTATAGGTGGCTAGCTTTTAGTTATTTTTCAAGCGGAAATATGCTGAATGAAGTGTAATGTACCTTGAACAGCTTGTGAATACATTCTTTCATTGGTTCCGACTGGTTTCAGAGCTTGCGTTAACCCAATCGCGGGTCAGGAGGCCCATTGTTCGAGTCCTTTCCCCGTCTTTTAGTTTTTCCTGTCTGGGCCTCAACTACTTGGTTCTTTGAATTCCGTTTGCTTGCATGACAGGTATAAACCGGTAGGCTCCAGATATGACCGTTTTTTGGTGGCTGTTTTATAAAATTTCAAAATCTCATTTTTTTCTAGCTTTTCTCTCGTGTAAACCATCAAGTAAGCCTCACTCTAGGAGCAAGAAACCATATGAATGCTCCCAAGTGATGATTTTAACACTTTTGAGTACTACCGTTTCATTGGCGTCTGGGAGGCATCTTTTAAAACAAGGACTGAATCCCCCAGGAAGCTCCAAGTTTTGGAAACGAAATGTTTGCCCAAATTGGAGCGATCTTTACAGACCTCTGCATTTTGTACTTCCGAGTTTGTGTCTTCCAACTGCCGATCCCCGCTTTAAAAATTCGGTATAGTTATTTTGGAATTCAAGGTCGTTGGTGCAGGCTTTTGTTTGTGTTAGTTTTTGTGACCTAACCGGCCTGCTGATCCGCGTCCACAAGGATGATCCAGATTGACTGGGATATCGATTTTTTAAGGTGAACTGTTTTAAAATCGCTAGCCTCAGCCTAATGGACTAGCCTGAAGATGCTAGTCAGTAAATTCAACCTCCGTTGATTTATTCTTCAGATAAGTGGCCACTGAACAAAAGTCATCTTGAATCTTTACCACCGTTCCGTATAAAGAGCTGGGAGATCGCAACAGATGCTCACCAGGACATATGTCGAATAATTCTGGCCATCCATTGACGTCTCCGAGGAGAAAACGGAGTCACGGAACCGTGTTGCGAAAGTTTACGAGCTGTTTTTGCGTGCAGCCGGATTTGAGTCCACCGGAAAGTGGAAGGCATGATTTCATCTTCATACATAAAGACCGGAACGATTTGTCGGGAAACACGTCAAGAATGACGATGGCAAAGGGTGATAGTGCGCTGTGTTTGCAAAATAGAAGCGAACCAGAGCATCCACCGAATCCACGCATCCATCAGTCATCGGAGCGGCCATGTCCCCCATTTAAAAATACGGATTCCAACAAGTTTGGAAGGGTAACGAACAATGTTCAAGGCATACAGATCATTCATCCGGTCGGAGAAAGCCGTCATTGCAACTTCAGGTTTTCTCGCGATCCTTCATCCTCCAAAGGTGACGAACAAATCTCAAGTTGTACCGGGATTCCGGTTAATTCTGCGAGTACCGTGAGTTGTCCGGAAAAATTGAATAACGATGTTTTTTTGTTTGGAGATCGGTTGGATCCCATATTTATAGCCGCCAACGAAATCGTCTCGGCCTCGAAATCCCTAACAAATGCTATTGAATCGCTAAAGAAGCAAGTTTGCTTCAATGTTTCCAAGAATGACGTTACCCGAAAGCAAATGTTGGAACGCATGATTATGGCACCTGGCGAAAAATCCGAATTATCTACAGATTACAACGTGAAATCCCTTGATATTGCAGACACACTTTCAGACCTACCACCCTTATCAGAATCAGAAAAGTGTAATCTGATCAATGCAGATAACGTATATCATTTCGCTAGACATAACCCGCTTATTTTAATAGAGGATTTGGACGCAGTGGAGCCGATTCACCAAGAATTTGGCCCAAATATAAATTCGGATACACTGCTCAATAAGGACAACTATCTGGTCCCTCCTGAAGAAGATAAGGCAGCTAAATCTTATTACCCTGGATTGTCGAGTACGGTTCCAACTTGTCTAGATCGAACTACTTATTCTTCGGTGTTAAAAAGAGGTGACAGTGTTTTCACACACGAATCCCATTCAAATTGCCAAACACTTATTACTTCCACGTTCCAACTGTTCTCTAATGAAGAAACACAGGTCACCGAGTTCGATGAAGCACTGACAACAGATGAAGGCGAAAATTCCTATGAATTCAAGACTGATCAAACTGCACAGGATCAGCTGTCTGCAGGAGATCAGTCGCCTGCCGGCAATAAACTGGAATTAGAAGGGCTTCAATCAGCGCCATCGTTGACAAACGCGATTCCGGGACTTCCTAAAGTTATTCCGCGTAACCGACACCGAACGATCCAGTTGCACTCCGACAAACTCAAAAACATTGACTTAAGGTCTCCCAAACCACCTTCGGAAGAAAAAGCACAAACAACAGAGTTCACATGTCTCACGTGGGATACAAGCCCGACCAATTCCATAGGTGATGGACGCCTTTTACCAGCCTGTGCTTCGAACGCTTCTGAGGTTATCCAACCAAAAGAAGAAACGTGTGACCGTCCTAATAACGCTTCAGTAGTACCAAATACTAGAACGCTGCCTGTAATCTTAGATGCAGACGATCTCTTGTTTGAGGTACAATGCCAGCGGAATAACCACAATAATAGACCACCTGCAAGCATCGCTACCTCAGAAGACAATATTAGAAATCCTAATGAAAGTAACCCCTTGGAAAACCTTACTTTTTGTCATGCAGTCGAACAGAGTCCCCACAAGTGGAACATCACAAATTCTGAGTGTTCTGCGCCAAGTATAGCCACAAAAACTCAAACTTCTTCAAGCGATTGTGGCAGCCCGAGTGTCCAAACCACTGCCCCCGCGGTTAGTTCACAACACCCCGAAAGCTCACGTGTTCAAAGAACATACACTGGGCTGGCTAGAGTCAATACACTCCCAATCGTTGGTGCAGCACCCGATGTGGATCCGTTCACGACAGGAAACACAAGGAGTGATGGCAGGGGTGACCTGAGCGAATTTGAGCGACGCCGTCTTCTATGGACTAGAAGATCCGCCAGAAATAGTGGTTTTATGAGAAATACCACAACACTAGAATCAAATAGCAGTCTTCCGGTTAATGATCTAAGATTGGTTGATGACGAAGTGTATGATGAAATTTTAGAGGAGATCCAGTTTCTCTTTGCCAACGAGAGCGATATGCGTGAACAAAGACGGCGAATGCTAGGGGAGGACGAAGGCGATGTGGTTGTTTCTGCTTCAGAAAACTACGTCCCCCCAGGAACCGGACTGTCATCACTTAATTCGGACCCCTGCATAATCTCCATGCTAGCGGCATCTCCTCACCGGTAGGGTGGAAAGTACTCTGAATATTTTGCCCTCAGTTTTCATCAACGTGAACACTTGGTCTTCACCCAGGAAGTTAGCTGACCGACATGTTTTTGGTGATTCAGGATGAATTTGGTCAATTGATTGCTTTCCTTGTAGATATGCCCCTTTTCTGTATTTAGTTATGCCACGTACCCCTGAGTTTCTCTGGATCATTTATATAGTCTTATTTCAACCATTTTTTAGGGTAACTTCGATCTATAACACCAAAGGTCGGAAGGTAGTCGTTTATGGATAACGGATTTTATCTCAGAGGTGCTGTTTTATATCAGTAAAAGTCACGAAAGCTGAATTTTTTGACATTCACATTCGCACAAAGCAGTTGCCTATACACAAGGTTCAGAATGACCCGAGTGAAATGTTTTTTTGTCTTCTGAGGACAACCATTTACTTCCTTGACAGCTCCATAAATTTCGCACTATTTCGCGCCTTATATTTCGAGTTCAACTGTTACATTTAATGGCCTGTGCGTTGTACTCTGGTTTTCAACTCATTCTGCTTATTCTCGATGACAGTCAAAATCCTGGTTAAGTTAGCATATCACTGCTTCTTCATTAGGACCAAAAAGCATGAACCTGTGGATTCAGTCCCACCAGAGGTTTAGCTGTACTTTAGAGAGAAGGGTCACCTATACTGTACTTTGGTCCGAAGAGTCATAATAGATGGGAATGACAAGCGGGAGATGTCGATTGACCCCAGAAGAGAAGCCACTGTTGTTAAAAAGGCTCATTTGCCTCAGTTCTGTGGAACTGTACTCTCTTCAAGGATTCTGTAGTGGCGTCAACGTCGGTCCTGAGGAATCACTATCGAAACAATGGGGTTCCGTACCCACTCCGTATCCTGTTGGGTACGAAGTGGGTGAAGCCCGGAGGCTCAGATGACAGCTCAACTGGTTACCCACCTCATCAGGGTGTCTATGGTGGCAATCCTCTAGTAATACGTTCATATTAATTTCTTCCCGATAGAGTGTACTGGTCTTGTTTTGAACAGACCGAAACGCGCCATTTGATCTCTTCTGTTCGCCGCTCTACCATGCTGCTGGTTGAAGACTGCACGTGCATTTAGCTTGTGCTGAACTCATCCGATTCTCGTTACTCCGGGTAATTTCTGTCTACTTTATGTTTCGAAATCAGCTTCCAAACATAATGCTTACTGCCCGTGCCCTTGTTTGCTGGCCATTTACACTCTATTTACCCGTTATTGCGTTCAGGAAGCCCAGTTGCCTTACTGCTCTCACTGATTTGCACTGTTGCTCATCTGCTTGTTTTATACTACTCATTAATCTGTCCACCGATAGAACACGTTGGCTTCTGTCCGTTGCCACTGCTCAATACCTACGTCAAACGTCCTTTATAATCCCAATTTACCCGGTTCCTACGCTAATACTCAGTACTTTTCGACTGTAGTGCAGCTCGCATAGGATATGATTAATTCTTGATGCAAGTTTAAGTTTCTTTTTTTAAAAGCAAACTACTTGAGTCACTTGGCATTCTGATTATCGTTGTTAACATCATTTATGGTTTTCCGCGTGGCTGATCTAGTTTTTAAAGTAGCGTTGTCAGAATCTTTATTCATGTTAAACATTAACTTGGTACAAGCAATGGTGAAGCTTAAGTTCGACCAGTGACAAAGATGTACAATGGTTTACACGGTAATCCAGAAATCATGTTGAAACTATTTGCAGCTCAACAGGTGACTTTCACCTTAGGTTGAAGCATTTTAAAGGCCACACGACCGACGTTCAACACCACAAACTTTACAATCATCCAGGCAGTGTCCTTGGTAGAATCCGATGCACTATTGTCTGAAGTATACCATGAGTTTTAGGTTCAATTACTTGTATTGTGTGTTCAAACACATGGTTATCGGGGGCCATTCTAGCGCAAGGGTAGTCAGCTAATCCGAGCTGAAAATGGTGCACAGGCGACAGTTCAGCCGTGAGTCAAAATCACCCTATCGGAAAAAAGCCTGTCAGGTTAAGGTTATGGTGATGTATAATATGCACATATAACCACAATATAATGAAGAAAGCTTTCTTTTCTAATCCAAATCCATGCTGGCAAAAAGTTTTAATGGAGCAGGCTAGAACTTGGTAACATGAAAGTAAAGCTGCCATGGTCGAGCTAACCGTACTGGGGTCAATGCTCTGGTAACTGGAAGTATGGCAGGACATAGCACGCAACCGATCGCAGAGACGGACATGTTATCAATTCTTTACTGGATAAGGTTTGTACTGTGCGTTGAGTGGGGCAGATAAATTTAGTGCTGTTCGAAAGTACACCAACTTGTTCTCGGCCACTTCCCCCAGAATCTTAGGCTCTTTTCAGTGAGTCTCAAGTCACTTGTGGGGTAGTTATGGGCGACTCCCTAGTCCTGACTCGTTACTGTCGTGGATGATTGCGTATGCGCTAGCCTAAGCGACATCGTTCATTAAAACCAGTAGGTACTGGATAAATCTTTTTATGATAGCCAACTATGGACTAATCATCTACACCAAAATTTTGGAGCCAGAGGGCCGGTAATGAGAAGCAGGAATTTCAGCTTTTCACTATCGTCTGCTACTTTGCATAAGTCCACCATTCGTCAAATAGACTTGAGTTTGTTAACGTAGTCTATTCCAGTTTTTAAGAACTATGAGGCGCTGCAGTTGTGTGGTTCAAAATTGCCATCCGGCTCTTGACGCACTGTTTTCCATTCACGAACCATTGGGTTGATGGCCGTTCTTTGAATGCCACATCGATGTAGTTGAACAAGATCATGACCACTCGATGGCGGTTGGCAGGATTTATACACAGACAGAAAATTCAATGGAAACCTGGATGAGAGTCCACGCTGCGTATTCCCATGAGTGGTTGTGTCTTCGTAGGGATGTATCATGGTGAAATTATCATATTTCGGAGACCTTAATTCATTATTTACACAAAGAACTTTATTCGACTGCAGAGTTCACAAAATGACAAATTACAGCGGTTGCTTTTTAAAGGGACTGTCTATAAGCCTGACAGAATTTCTATCGTTTAAAAACTCTCCGGAGTTATCCGGGCTTTTCGTGCAGTCATCTGTGCACCGCGTGCTCCTTGACGTCAGTCGCTTTGATGGGAAAACGTCTCAAACTGGATTTGGTCTTCTTGGTTGCAACTTTAACTTTAGCATTCAAGGTACCCTCCGATCCTATCCTGTACGAATTGACTAATTACCGGAACAGATGAATTCGTGATAAGCAAACTGCCTTTTGACTTGGCCTATAATGCACTGATCATGTATGGTCGTTGGTTTATTCGCTGAGCTGGGCAATTTGATTGCAAACGTTTCACCACCAATTGAGGTGACAGTACGTTTTTATGGAGCGTGATAGAACGCAGCGAGGGGTTGTGCACTGATCATGTATTCAGTTCTAGCAGTATCATTCTTTCGATGGTCAACAACTATCGTATTCCCTGACCTGAAAACGGCGTTCTACCCAGCCGACCGTCAGAAACTATGGTGGTGTCTGGCAGTTAAGGGCACCTTGATCAACTCCTGTCCCCTTACGAGGACACCACATCCATTGCTGTGGGATGGTACGGGCCATCTACTGGAGCTCACCACGTTCAACAGTTTAGGATGTGACCGTCTTCTTGCTGTTTGTCTTCACCTTTGTTATCGAATATTGCTTGAAACTCCTACATCTACTTCTTACACATCAAAAGTCGGATCGTTTGCTCAATTATGTTGAGTTTCCGGACAATATTTAACTTGTATCAGATCCGGCAGGAGTACAAATTAGTTTACATAAGCGGTATGTTTCACACCTCCAAATTGGAAAGTAATACTGCGAGGATGACTGGGATCAAATAAAGCTACACACCTACAGATCAGCTGCTCGAAGTGTGTTTATAGATACATTTACCGGTGGAATTGTGTAAATGCCGATAGAGTGAATAAATGGGAAATCAAAAAAGACAGAACAGGTTTTGCCGACTTTCCAGAACTACGTGCCGATTTGGTGTCTGTTGCGGTTGTACGACCTGCACTGCTTTATGGATCAGAGATTCGGCCTCTGGACAGATATACACAAATTTTCTCCATCTGACCATTGTAATCCGACGAACTCCTTAGCCTTCTGGGAACGGTGGGATCGGTAAAGTGAAGAAACGTCTTTTGAAGACAGCTCCCTCGGGATTTACGAGCTACTCACAATCGATGGGTTACGCCGCTTGAGCCCTGTACTTAGCGTAACAGAGGATGATGTACCTCTCAGTGTTTCTTTTGTCCAAATTCTGTTCTCATTGGAAACTGCTGAAAGACGGACAACGTAGGACCTGGGAATGAAGTATGAAAGCCCTGGTTAGTAAATTCACACGGATCGACAACTGTTAATTTGCTGGTTAACGACCATGGGGCACGACATACCAGTTGTCAACGATGTGTCAACAGATATGACCCATTTCGTTCGCCAGTTGCCCTTCTGCACCAAAGATTTGTTACACTGCTCTATAAGGCCAAGTCAGCGTCAACAAGCAGTTTGACCAATTGCCCCAATCCGTGTTGGTTCGGTCTTCAGTTTCCCGTTTCTCAGCGGACAGAACTATAACGATTGACGAAGTTGGCAGAGTACTCCCCTTCCGGTATGAAACAAGAACGTAAGCAAATTGAGTCGGACTGGGGAGATATCTTTATTTATTTGTAATGCATTACTCGTAAGGTTGCTGAAAATTCATCGACAGCCCATGACCGGTTTCGCCCTTCTTGGGGATCATCAGGTAGGCGCAGTCCCCGAGTTTCCCTCAATTTTATGTCCTACTTGAAACCAAATAGCACGAAATTAGCGAATATACTCATTTGCAAACTAATTTTTTTTGGAAAACATCAGAAACGAGAGGTTCAGCTGGGTTCCAGGTGAGTCTCTCGAAAAATCAAATTAGTTTGTTAGTGAGTGTATATTCGCCAATATCCTTATTTATTTGTGAGTAACAGTTTTTACT